CGGGGCCCCGGGCCGCAGACGGGCGCAGCCCCGCAGGAGCCGCGTCGCGGCCGCGTAATGGCCCAGCCCGGCGTGGACGATCGCCGCGCGGTGGAGGGCGAAGGCGTCATTGTCGAGATCGAGCGCGTTGTGGAGGAGGTGCAGGGCGTCGTAGAGACGCCCCTCCGCGTGCGCGATCAGGCCAAGGCGCAGCAGCGATGGGCGGTGGTTCGGCTGGAGGGCGAGGACCTGCTGGAAGGCCGCACGGGCCTCATCGATGCGCCCCTGGTCCATGAAGCTCGCGCCCTTCGCGTGGAAGAAACGCGGTTCGGGTCGGAGCCGGATCGCTTCGTCGAAATCCACCAAGGAACGGTCGGGGAACCCCATCTTCAGGTTTACACAGCCCCGGTAAAAGAGTAGGACGGCGTTCGTGCTGTTGTGAAAGATCGCCTCATTGAAGTGACGCTGGGCGTCCTCGGCCTGCCCGAGGCGGAACCACGCCATCGCGAGCTGGGTGTGGTACGTCGTATTCTGAGGGTCTTTTTCAAGCGCCGCGCTGAAGTGCTCCATCGCCAACTTGAAGCTCCCCTTGTGGTAGAGCGCGAGTCCCATCAGACTGCAGACCACCGCGGTGTCGTTTAACCCCTTCGCCTTCGCGAAGATCTCAAGGGCGTAGTCCGTATCGCTTGTTATGCAGCAGGTGCCCAGGCTCAGCAGGCTCTTGTATTGAGTGGAGGGGTTCATGTGCGCTAAGGCTGAGGGCTGCAGCGAGGCCGTAAAAAAACGCTTCGCGAAGAAAAGGTTTCCCCGCCGGTGGTAGTGGAGGCCAAGCTCGTAGAGCCACGTACCGTTATCCGGCTCCAGCTCTGCCGCCTCACAGAGGTCCAGCTGAACGTCTTTGAAAGAATCCATCGCGGCCCATAAAGCCGCACGATTGCTGTAGATCAATGAAAGGCGTTGCCTATCGAGCGGTACCTGCGCACGTTCGAGCTGAATGGCTAAAGTAAGATCGGATACACCAGCTTGGAGCTGGGAAATTTTACCAAGCAAGGATGATCGAAGGATAAGGGCGTTGACAAAGCATGGATTAAGCTGGAGGGCGGTATTAAGAAGCTTTAAAGCCTTATTCAACTGCTCAGGGCTATCTGGTTTAATAACTCGTGCAGACTCGTAGATTTCCCTTGCTTTTCGATCAATATCATCACGTGAAAAGGTAGCTATTAGCGTCATTTTTATTTTTTTTAATTGAGATAAGCTGATAATTAATAAATAAATTTGAAAAAAAATACTCGATTTGATCGCTCTTTCTCCCTCGCTATTGTTTTATTTTGGTATTACAGTGTAGGTTGTCTTTCGAACAAATTTGTGTTCCTCTACTTCTGCTAACTACTTACTTGGACTGAAAAGTCGATGCGAAATGGATGAGGGAAATGGTATGTAGGCAACATCAATGTGGAAACTTTTGACAAACCTGTTAAATGAATTTCTCATTTTGACAATGTGAAACAAATAATCACTATTAGGTATACTAACGATAGTGAGAATGGTAATATGGGAGGGAAAAAAAAATGCAACCACATCCGAACTGCTCTCGTTAAACCGTAAGCTCAATCTAAATGTTGCCTCTTCGCTGTTCAGATCGTGGAATACCAATGATTGTCTTATCAGGCGCGTTCGTTGGTAAAAACTTTCCTAAACTATGCGCAGCCTGCTGAAATTCTTGCTTCACTAACTGAAACTTTGCCTGATGGAGGTGTCTAGCTAGATTAAGGCCCCCCTCGCCCACATCCTCATATGGATCCTCGACGCCCATAAAATAGTTAAAGCTACCTTTCTTGTTTAGTGGAAAGTTCCAGTTCATATCGGACCGTTGACTACGCCGGTCACGATTCAAACTTATCACCTCATTCGTGTAGTCAAAGTGGTAGGCGTAGAAGATAAAGAAGCCATGGATTAGCATCGCGAGTCGGACCGGATCGCAGGTATCCAGCGGCGAGTAATCCGGATATCGTGGGAGGTGTACAGGGTGTGGAATTATCCAAGGGTTCACCCACCGCACCTGCCGCGTCACGAGTAAGTAATACACAAACAGGATCGTCATCGCGTAGGAGGTGAGCATGGCGGCCGTCCCCACACCGACGCCGGTGGCCTTTCCCCAGGCCTTTATCGCCATCGCGGCGTGGCGGGAGGGGTCGGGCCCGGAGTCGAGGTAGTGCCGGATGAGGTAGCTGTTTTTGACGCCGTAGCTCACAAAGGAGATGTCCCATTTGTACATGAACATCTCCGGGACAAAGCGGGGGTCGAGGACGTCGCGCGTGTAATCCTCCCGCATCCCCCGCGTCATGATCCTGCCGTCCGGGAAGAACCCGATCGCCTCCATCACCTGCTCCTTCGTCGCGCACTGGATCGCGACCCGGCAGCCGTAGGTCGTTCGCTCCACCCATATCCCCTCCACATTTTCCCGCCCCAGCTTATCGGCGATGTATTCGACGTCGCCCTCGTCTAGGCTTTTATTCCGCACGTCCAGCAGCGCCGTCCGCGCGCGGCGGTCCTCCTCCACGCTCAGCGGCGTATACCGCGCGCGGCTGACCTTCTCGTCGTTGGCAAAGCGCAGCTTAACGACGGGCGTGCGGGCCTCTGTGAGGCCGAGCAGGTGCGGCCGCAGATAGTGGGGGACGTAGCGCTTCACCACCGTCCACAGCTTATCCGTCCGCTTGGCCTGGATGTCGTGGGAAGGGTAAGGGTCGTCGAACACGCAGGCCAGGTCGAGGTCGCTCCCCCACTCCATCTGGCCGTAGGTCACCAGCGAGCCGCAGCAGTAGACCTTCGCGTCCGGCGTCCACTTGTCCGCGAGGCCCTGGATCTGGTGTTGGGCCAGGATCGCCGTGCGGAACATGTGCTCCGGCCCGATCCGTTTGTAGTTTTCCGCCAAAATGGCCTTCCCCCAAGCCGCGTAGTGATCGTTGGAGGGGTTGAATTTGGGTGTTAGATTCGCCGGGCTTTTGATTGAGCCCGACGGGGAGGAAATCGGATCAGAAAGTATCACGTGACTCCATTTAAAATGGCGTGTAATGTAATGTTGGCGCATTTTTTCTACCCTTACTCTTTTTCCAACGTGCAATCTTCCCTAAAAGGGAAGAATGTCTAGCAATACTCCAGGGAATCTTTACAAGAGGAAAGAGAATTCACACACATATGCATTAAAAAGAGTAGAACAATAATTCGCTGAATGCTGAACTGAAAGTGTGCAATAGAGAAAACGGATGCCTGAAAAACCAGTAAAGAAAACAATTTGTCACTCGTTAACCTCAAAGCAAGTTAAATAAAGTAACGAAACGTTTCGTTTGGGGTAGAGGTGATTAAA